TTTCGTGCCCTGCACACAGCTGATGATTTCGAAAGCCGGTGCCGCCTCAAATAACCATACTGGAGGCTTGCATCCTATGCTCGGCAACGCGTGGATGGGTTCTTTTGCTTTTGGTTTTGTGGGATGCCTGGGCACGCTTACTTCAGCCAATGATATGGAGAGTGGCTTCCGTAGGTTTTTCTTCTCAGGCGCGAGATCATGTACTATCTGCTGTATGTTTCTAGTCTTTAGGGAGGTGTAATACACACGCAGCAGGAATGCCTAGATCAACAGCCAGGTCCGTGCAAGGTTTCTTGCGTTCACAAAGCTTCGTTGATGCAGGATGACGCTCGCTGTGTACGATGCGTGGTGAGTTGGCATCCGTCTGCGTATCAGATGACATGGGCTTCGGCGTTGAACTGCTGAACTCCCCTGCCATGTCCTGTTCCCAAATCACTCAAAGCAGACCTCAAAACATCGTTGGACTCAAGAGGCACGCGCAGCCGCAAGGAGTGTCGAGATGTAGTCGAGGAAATGCTCAGGATACCTTGTTTTCGCAGGAAGTGGCGAAGTATCCGCAGCCAAATGCCCAGAAAATACGCTTTGGCAAAGCTTGGAGCTTGCGGATACTGCCCTGGATGTAAGGTCTTGAAGATCCCTAGAAGGTCCCAAGATGTCCCAAGGCTCCGAAGTCCCGAAGACAAGCTCAGAGGGGCAATGTATCCGGGCTCTTGTCTCCAGCGCATGCAAAGCGTGGCAAAGTCTCCCCTTCAAAGGCGGCTGCCGTCGCCTTCAGGATGTAGGTCCAGAATTCAGGGCTTTCTGGGTTTGGGGGGCTGGGGTGGGGGGAAGGGAGGGGGAGGAGAGGGACGGGAGAGGAGGGGGAGAGTCCATACCGGTCTTTTCCTGGACTTCTGCGAGGTAGGCGTTGGGTACCCTTTCTGGACTACACGCCACATGCATTTGCCGGTTGGCTGTTGCCTCGCCGAAGCAGGGAAGGTCCAAGGAAGGGGGGGGGCGACATGGCCAGTTCTCCCTTGCTAAGAAGGGAGAACTCAATGTGATTCCCGAAGATAGGCCACGCTGTTGCAGGCGGCCTGCCTTAAGGCGAGACTTCTTTTCACAGGGCCGGCGAGCTCCGCCTGCTTCGAAGAACGACCAGCCTATGCTGAAGCTCCAGACTGCTAGGGGCGCGGCCCTGTCTTGGTGTAGCAGGGCTTTGTAGCAGAACTTATCAGGCTCAGAAGGTTTGGGGTCTGTAGGTCTGTGGGGCTTCAAGAGCAAGGCTTCGGCTTGAGTACCCTAATCCAGCAATGTGCCACCAGCTTCCCCTGAGCCCAAAGCCCTATCTCCGTCACCGTGCCGGACTGTGAATCCCCGCCCCTTACAACTTAAAGCTCTAACTCTCCGGTGAAACCGTAGGTAGGGACGCGCCCGCGTCTCCTCCAAGAGGCTCCTCGAAGAGGAGCCTTGATTTTCAAGCTGGGCTTGGACGGCCCAAGCTGCTTTTGGGGTCTTGTGTTTGGAGGTTGAGGGAGGTTTAAGGCCTCTCGAGGTCCCGTGGGATGGTTTCCATTTGCCGTAAAGACGACCATTGGACCTCTCTCTGGGGTCTTGGGCTTGTTGGGGGCGTGATTCTGAAAGAAGTGTACAAAGAGTGCGGGCAAAGCCCCATTTCATTTTATCAAATCCAATTACGCCTGGACTTGGCAACAGCTTGTGACGTTCTTCAACACAACTTCTCGGAGGCTACTGAAATGGGTACAGGGCCTTTTAAGTCAGGTTCCGAACTAGGTTACTTCCTATTCCACCGCGCACTTGTCTGCATTTCCGGGTCGGTCCCGGGACAGTGAAGCAGACAATGTTTCCTGACAGCTGACGCCAACAGATACGATAATGGTAGCAAACATGGTCATCGACCTGCGCGTGTCGGCCGACGTCATGACCGTGCAGTCGGCTTACCCATTCTGGATTCGGGCTCCCGTGCTTCCCTGCAGGGTTTTCCAGATGTCAACGCTTGAAGGCTCATGCGTAGTAAAGGCTTCAAGTACGGAACTTGTATTCATGCATGTATGCATAAGTGCGTATGCATGCAGGCACTCATGCATTCATGCATTCATGCATTCATGCATTCCTGCATTCACGCATTCACGCATTCACGCATTCATGCACAATTTCATACACGTGCGTATCTTCATATATGTAGATGTTGCATAGCGCGCCGGTTGGGAGGCGAGGATGCAATGCACAGCCGTGCAAACACAAGTATCCCTTCATTGCAACATCCAAAGCCCGATTCTGGGGGAGAGCCCGACTGGACTTCCTCGGGGTTTTCTCCGTCGAGCGCACGCCGGCTGATCAAGCTGCTTCTCCTAGAAGCGACAGCGCCGAACTCCCCAAGCACAGAACCTTGAATCCAGGCTCCAGGGGCCGAAATCCAAAGACTGCTGTGACCTCCTGAGCGACCCTTTAAATCAGCATGGCATAGAGTCTTAGAGTGGCATGGAGACAGCAGACATCCGTCGGCCTAGGATCCTAAGCTTTGGACCTGTGCAGAACCCTTATCGAAGTCTCCGAGCACGAACTTTTTTGCGGCCCCTGTTGTCTTGCAAAGGCCTGCAATGCCCACAATCCGAAATCCTGGCTTGGGTTCTAGCATGAAGCTCTTCCCGACATTTGTGGAAGCTTGGATCAGTGGTTGCGCGCCGGAGCAGCTGCAGTCGGGCCTTGGAAGCAGTGGCGATCTCGCCGAACCCTTAGCATATATGAAAGTTGATCCCTAAGGCCCTAAGGTGAGGTTCAGATACTGCTCCGCCAGCCCTTTGACCTGACTATAGGTCAGCAGATGTTTGGAGGGAAAATTGTTCGACGAATCATGTAGATCCAACATGCCAGGGCGTGACACTGCTGTGATCATGGCGCAGCATGCGGCGGGGTCCAAACCTTCCCCGTTTCTGCCAATCCCTGCGCACCGGACCCCTGCATCTGGTCCCCAACCCTAACTCCAAACCCCAAACCCCAAACTCTAAACCCTAAACCCCTGAGCCACAAGTTTCTACATGGGTAGATGCGCAACCTTCTTGAGCCGTGCTCACAGGCTTACGAAGGCCACGGCTAAAGGCAGCAGCGTGGGTGGGGGGTGGGGATGTTGAGGGCTAAGAGTTATGGATTTGGGAGTTTTCTTCAAGTTCTCCTTGTATTTTCCTAGGAAAAATTTATCGGTTACTTGAACTTAAGCCACGGCTAGGCAAAAATGTCGCTTCCGCCGCGGAGGTCAGGTGACAAAGGATGCCGGGGTTTCGCAACTTTTTGTCTTGGAGGTACTCGTACCCTCAATCTTGAAAGCGGAAGACCAAGCCTCCCAAATATCCCCTCCACACTCACGTGGGAGTTGCTCTGAAGTAGGTTGTATTGTTTCGCGCTGTCCTTCTTGAAGACGAACCTTCGTTCAAGTAATCAGAACACATCCCTATGAGGGCCCTAAAGCCAGGCTTCGACGGCGGTTCAGCGTTTTTGGACCTCGAGGATTTGGAGGAGAGGGTTTCCTCGGGGGCTCCTGAACGTGCTGGTGTAGGATAAACGGCTTCTTGCTGCGGTCGGTGGGTGGGGAGTAGGGGGCATACGGTTTTTTCTTCAGCAGGGTTCGGTGAGTTAGGGTTTGTTTGTGGTTGATTTGGGTTGGCGGCTGTCAGGGTGTATCCCTCGGCAGAACCGGCGCTGTCCACGCAGATGCCGGTTGCAATGGAACAGCACCCCACCATGCCCAGGACCCAACCATTCCAAATCTAGCCCCTGGCCCGATAAACAGTGACTTCCGGGGCTCCGGCATGATCCGCCTGAATCTGAAAAGCTCGAGATCGAAGCCTTTCAAGCCTCTTCGTTGCCCTGGACTCATGCCAGGATCCCTGGAACGGTGGTGTCAAGGCCCGCTGTACATCTGTTGTAGGAGGGCCAGCTTTGGTGGGATTGTGTATTGATCTGCGTTTTGTGTGGGGTAATTGGATTTTTCGTCAACCATTCTCCTCGCCCGGTGTCCCGGTCACTTGGTCCCTGGAAGACTCACCCCAGAGGTCCACAGAGAGTTCCGCCCAGTTAGCTAAGTTTCCTTAACAGAATTGGAGGTCACCTGTACAATTAAAATTGCTCATGCTGCGAAAGGGCGTTCTACTATCATGATAAATCCTGCAAAAAATGAGGCCATGTCAGAACAAACAAGAAAAGGGCAGCTTAAACACATATCGGGTTAAAGTGAGAACTCAGCTCATGTGGCGAAGTGGTTGTCCCAGTTGCTGTCGTTCACTATTTTGTAAGATGCGGCTTCCGCACTTTTCTGAGCACCTATCAGGACACCCTTCGCAATTCCCCCATGAGCAAGACTTGGATTCTACATAAGCAAGACTTGGATCTCTGCATAGATGCTACGTAAACCCTACCGCGATCCCCCCCAGTTCCGAATCCTGCAAAAAGTCCCTGAAATCCCCTTTCCAGAGATGCCTGGATTAATTACCCCCACACAGAGAAGCCCGCAGAGAGCCCCACCTTCCCGAGCATCGTGCCCACCACCGAGAAGCCCTGAACATGGGAGCAGCTGTAATAGCTTTTTGTATTCAAAAAGAAGAGATAGTGGGCTTTCTTAACACCTAGAGTCCTACGAATTCCTCGTGCCACAGCTGCAAACCGTTTCTCGGCCCAGTTCACTGCGATGCCTCCTGCAAAGCGCTTCTGTGACATCGCGCTGCTGTCGGGTGGCTGGGTGTGGAGAACTCGTAGTGATGGCAAGTGCGAAGAACTAATGAAGTCTGTCTGTGAATGAAGTCGGGGATGAGGCGCAAGCCACTGTAGTTGCAGCAATGGCAGATCGGAGAGTGGAGGTTTCACAGGCTTGCTCAGTCATGGGAAATCCATACGCGTCAAAACCGAAGCTGCGAGTTCTGTTCTGAGAATTAAGGGTTTAGGTCCCGGCCTTGACGCAGCCGGTATGCAGCATTGGTTGCATGGTCGAGTTCTTTTACCCAGCTGAGGTGGGGAGAAAACAGTGGCAGCGATGGCACTTCTCTTTGCCATGCAGTCCTTCCAAAGGCCTGGTCGACTTTGGGCTTCATGTCTGCACTCTGTAGGCTTCAGACCAATACAGTAGGCTTTGTTGACGGCAAGGGGTGTGCTGATAGGACTGTCAGGGTGATGCCAAGGCAGCCCGGCGGAGGTAGGAGGATTGTGAGTGCCGTATATAGAGATGACAAAGTGCTCATTCCGCCTGCTGGCAATGCTGAGTCTCAACATGGAGCTGCGGTGCCTACGTTTGCGGGCTTTTGGCGTATGTTGTTCCAGCCTGCTGCATGTGTACTTCCTAGCTGCACGTCCTTTCAAGTTTGTGATACGTCACAAGCCTGTAGTCAAGGCCGCCGTTTCTGATCTTGGATGAAGTCGACGCCTACCTCGACCACTCCAATGTGCAGGTGCATGGAGCATGGGCTTTGAGATTTGCAAAGGTTTGAGAAAGTCTAGGTTTTCTCGGGAATGACTTGAAGAGACTTGCTGAGACAAGGTCTGCCGTGAGGTCTTTCTCGTACCGAATGATGCATATAGGGTGTGACGGCATTCGATACTTTCGTCTTGAGCATCGCGCGTGCTCAGGCGCTCGCAAGCTACATTGCTTCCGTGGACTGCCAGCCTGCGGCCTAGCCAAGCCGCGACACGCAAGAAAGGTTTTCCAATCGACATATAGCAAAAACAGAGGTTTCTTATCAAAGACGAGATGTGAAGGATGTTTTCCTCTTGCAAGACATTCAAAGGAAGTGAAGCAACAACAAGGAAGACCGCCCGCCCATTCCCCTAAAGAAGTCCCAAAGCAACAGCTCCACCCATTTAGCGCCCTTCAGGGGGCTTATGGCTTTGGGGCGTTAGGGTAGTCAGGCAAAAACGCATCTTTAAAGGCTCTGGGCACGATAAAGAACAGGGTCGGCGCAGTTGCCAGGATTTGAACAGTCTGTAGAATCCTCAAATTGCGGTCTGTCCTACATCCCTTACATCCCTAAACCCCGTAAGTTGTAAGTCGTAGGGATGCTGCCGAAGGCGAGTTCAGAAGGGAAGGGTTTGGGGTTGTGGCGTTCAAGGTTTCGGGTCGATCATGTGGATGGCCTAGGGTTCCGGGTTTGCAGAAAAGTGCAATTCTTGAAGCCGCACTCGGGCCTCTCGACGTACGTCACGCCGTGAAACTGCAGCGCTACAGCCCTCGGTGGGCGCAGGAAGTCGCAAACACTCAGCAACTGGAGCATGTTGTGTTGGGAGCGCCTGAGACACCCTGCGCTCAGGGCAATCGTCATCTCACAGAAAGATCGCTTCTTCGTGCATGGCGAGGCCTGTATCCCCTAACACCATCAAAGCCTTGCCCCCCCGCCCCCCCCCCAATGCCAGTCATCGACTCCCCGAACCTGCAAGCCCCTCTGAAGACCCTCATCTCCCCGAGACCCTCATCTCGTCGCAGGGCCTCGTGGGTGTGTCCAAAGACCGGGCCCGCAATGCCTCGGCCGCCTGGCATCTGAAAGAGACTCCTAATCCTAACCTTGCTTGCCTCCTGGTTTTCTCTCCTCTGCGTCCTTGTCCAGGTTGCCAAAGTTGTCCAAAGCCCGAGGTGGTCTTTACCATGGACTTGACGCGCATCCGCCGAGTTCGGGCGGAGCAGCGGGCCCCCGAAGTGGTGCCCCTGCAGTGAGAGGGCGCCTTCCTGGGGCGTGTGTTTTTTGAGCGGATCCCCTAGGAAGTTCATCTCGGAGGTTCCGGCCCACTGGGGTCTAAGCCCGCTTGCTTGTGGTTGTTTTTTTTCTCTTAGCCTCGGGACGCTTTGGTAGCCACGCAGTGGGACTACGCCAGAGGGCCTCGCAAGGTCACAAGGTTCGAAGTCGAAGAGAAAGGGTATAAAGTACTAAACTTTCATCCGACAATGCCTCGCAAAGCACCACATACGTGTCTGGAGCAAACAAAGCCATCACTTCCTTGCCAGCCTTCTAGGCCGCCCATGCAGTGTGCGCACTGCAGACTGTGCATCCGAAGCTTTGTGGATGTGGGATCCGGCATGACCGTCGTGGCTAAAGATGAGGTTAGCATGATGTTGGACACACAAACTCAAGGCACCTGAAGGTGAGTATCATGTCAGCTGCCAGATCTCTTCTGGTCTCGCGGCACTGTGAGGCAAGTTTCGCAGAACTTCGCTGGCTCTCACTTCTACAAGAGGATGCACTAATCCACTACGCAGCTGTAGGTGTGGATGATCACGAACGTACAGAAACCAAGTTGCGAGCTTCTGTCAAGCTTGCCTCCGAGCCGCATCCTCCTGTCTGCAGGGGAAATGCAGACTGCGTTTGTATTTGCTGGGTTGCTGCATGTAGAGAGCGTCCCTGCACTTCTCAAATCAAGCAAGTGGGGCAGGCTTCTGGATGTGTTATAAGAGGCGAAGCTGGAATGAGAGCCACGCCAACGTCTAGGCGAAGAGCGACACCTATGTTGCCTGCGGTTGGCTGTCGCTGATGGGTACTTGATGTGTTTTTCTGAGTGCGGCCTCTCTGCAGGCCAGCAACCCTGTCACTTCGATTGTTAATGACCTGACGAGCGCGTGGAGTTAGTGGATGGAGGGGATAGAGCGGGGTTTGGAGGGCAGCTGAAAGGCACTCAGTAGTGGACACTTGTCTTCGGAATTTCGATTTGTAGTCGCTGCTATAGTCGGCTCCACCCCGGCTCCCCTCCTCTTGCTTCATCATGGCGGACCGCACGCGCAAGCCTGAAAACGATGCATCGTGGAATTGAGCTAAGAATAACCTATTTTCCCAAGCACACGTTCACCTACAGCATCGTTTCTGAGAGCACGGTGTTGTGGTCAGATGGATGGGGAAAACCGCTTTCGGGACACAGTGGGTTATGCGCCAGCCGAAGCCACCTTGTGTAAAGAAGGGCGGCCGGTTCAAGGCCAATATTAGTAACTACAGTCATGACTTCGTATTGACAGCGTGTACAACACGTGAACAAACATTCGTTTACGCAACGCATACTTGTATGCAAGAACGGTCCAAAAAGTATGACAATCTGATAGCACGAATGCTACTGAATGCTAACGAACAGATGTTTCTGCTTCGCAGGTGTCATTTTGGAAGAGCAGGATGTTGTGTCAAAGCTTTTGCCAACAACTGCTGCTACAACAGTTTGTCTGCAAAGCGATGCCACTCGCCTGCAACTCGAGTGAGCCAAAATTTGGCTGCTCAATGTCGATTTAATGTAGCAGGAGCTTGGAACTTCGGCAACATGTGGCCGCAGCTTCTTAGTTTAGGGCTCAGCCCGTCTGCAGAGCCTGGGCTCCAAATTCCAAGCCTTGGAAGCCCCAAAAACCTCAAGCAACAAAACTCCTGGACACATCTCAGCTACTTCAGTTGCTGCGCATGGTCAGAGCGCCTAGTGCCCTTGGCCCAGCGCGATGGGTGGCGACTCTCTGAGCCCGGGGCTAACACGGCCAAGGGACTGGGGCATGTTGGTAGGGTGAAGAGCTCTAGGTACTTTTGGTCTTGGTACTTGGGACAGCTTGCGTAACATGAAGAACAAGATTGGGGTCCGCGCCCTGGAGTTTTAATGCTGCACGTCATATCCCCCAAAAGCCCTCCAGGCGAGCTGCCCGCTTAGGGCCCATGTTCACGCGCTGCGGGGCAATCTCTGAATCCTGAATCCCGCTCCCAGCAGAGGCCTCAGCCCGGGCGAGGAAGCGAGGCCGGTTGTCGACAGCTGCAGGTCTGCGTTACAGATTTCAGGACGTCTGGAAAGCCTCAGCCCAGACATTGCCTGTGCGAGACCGACCAGGGAGGTCGTTGACACTTGCTGCAACCGGTCTGAGCAGGTACTACCAGGAGACATTTCGCCGATTGAGATGTGAGCGCTTGCATCAGGCAGGGTGTTCCTGGAATCCGTCAACCTCCCTTACACTTGATCCGTTTGGTCATGTGCTTTGGAATGAAGAGCTACTTGGGGGGGGGGGAGGGTAATGAATGTGAGCAGCATGACTTGCAGTGCGTATTGTCTCGGAAACGCCACCAGCTGCGGAGCAGAAGCCCTCCAGGTGAGACAGAAGGAAGAAGTTCTCGCAAGAGAGCGGAGGCTGCATCCACCGAGCCCACTGCCGCAGACTGCGGAATCAGACCAGCAGCGACTAGCAGTTCAGAGGGTTGGGGAGCCAAATTGGGTCAGGGTTTGCAGTCGACTTTCCAGGTGCTGGGTGATGTATGCTCTCTGACAGAGAAGAAAAGCGAGAAAGAGAAATCGAAGCAGAAAGAGAATGAGAAAAAGAGCCGATACTGCATCGGGCCAAGCCGCACGACCCATGCCCCCAGAAAAAGAAAGAGAAAGAGAGGGAGTTCCAACTGTGTGGAGAGTCTCCAGTCGCCAGCGTGCATTCTCGCACAGACTCGGAGACCATCTGGGCGCGCCCACTGCGGACGCGATGCATGCGTCCCTCAAGATAAAGATATATATATATATATAGAGAGAGAGAGAGAGAGAGAGAGAGAGAGAGAGAGAGAGAGAGAAAGAGAAACAGAGAAAAAGAGAGCTGCGGGGTTCAATTTCCCAGCCCATGGAGAAGAACAATAAGAATGGAGAAGCAGCAAGAGCGAGAGCGAGAGAGAGCGAGAGAGGGAGCGAGAGAGAAAGAGGTTGACAAACCCAGGGACTTGACGGGGTGCAGAGCGAAAGTGTCTCACATGCTTGGCCATCTTCGAGCCCGGACAGGCTAGGCAGTTAAACGGCCTTGTCAGAAATGACTCCGGGCCCAAACCCCGTCTTGTGATTACTTCCAATGCTGACCCCAAATCCCGGGAGCACTGAAACCCCAATGTTTCAAGCTTTTGTGGCTGAAACGACCCAGCTGGATGCCGCCAGGCGGCAGTTTCAGCGCCAGGCCAGAGAAGAGGAGAAGGCATTCAAGACCGTCGAGGCTATTCTACCCCGTCTTTGGAAAGGGGGGTTTGAGGTTTCTGGTAATTGCGACTTGGTGCTAGGAAGCCCTTGAAATTGAACCTTGCTGAAAGCTTAGGAGCTCCATGCATGCAAGCATGATCATCGATCAAGCTTGGCTCTTCTTGGAGGGGGCGGCGAGTGCAACACTGGGCTTTGGGCCTTGGGTGTTGGCTTTGCAGGATTGAGCAGTTGGGCTTGGACGACGTCTCTTCTTTGTGGCTTGTTGTTTTGTTGTGTGTGTGTGTGTGTTTTTGATGTTTTTCGGGCGGGAGGCTTGAGCCTGTCAATCTCGAAATTTCCAGAACGCTCCTCCTCACTTCAAGTCGCCTTGGGTCGTGGCCTTCACCCCAGCAGTGCGAATCCGGGCAAAAGCAGCCCAAAGCCATCCAAAGCCCTTCAATCTTCTCTGAACCCCAAGCCCTTGCAGGTGCGCGCACAGCTCGCCGCCAAGCGTGCGCAGCTGGAAGGTGCATCGTGCGCGCTAGTGGAACGGTGGGGGATCGAGAGCTGAGGATCCGGCGGTTTTGGCTTTTCGAGGAGTTTGCGCTGTCCAAGCGAGAGCTCCGGATTCCCAGTTGTAAGACTCTGTAGTAAACACGGCCCCTCTCCGACTTCGGGCAAGTTAAGGAAAGCTGCTGATATCCTGAAGGCCCTGAAGGCTCTGAACTTTCCAATCGTTACCGAGTGCTTGCCAATGTCCCTGAACCCTCTGCGAAGCTCTGCTGTTGTAAGCGTATGCAAGCATCCCACAAGCCCTTGCGCAATGTCCTCTCCCGAACCCTTCAGCACACAGGGCTTCTGGAGCTCCGGCGCGTGTGCGAGGCACGCCTGGTTGAGGGTATTTGGCTTTTGTATTGAGAAGTTCTCAAGGGTTCTTTACATGGGGCAGATGAGACACTGCTGTGTATAGAGGCAAAACTTCTGGCATGTTCGTTGGCCGCTCCTGCGCTCCACAGCCCTCAGCAGAAGATAACTTTCTGAACATCCCAAGACATAGGGGTTGGTAATGCCTGGCTGAAATTGGGGGGGTTAAGCCTCCGATATTATCCCGAGCTGGGTTTTCATCCGGCCTGTGTCTGGGCGGATTCCTAGGATTTTATCCAAGGAACATGGGTGCATGTTAGGCCTGCTTGGGTCGGTCATTGAAGGCATATCCACGGTCTGTTGTCAGGGTCAGGCCCAAGGATTTTATCCAGGGTAATCTTTCCCGTCCGCCTCTGTCCTGCAGGCATTTGGCCTGAATGCACAGTTGCCGAGATTCAGAAAGAGCAGATGTGCGTAGGGGTCGGGCCTCCGGATTTTATCCATGGGGGTCCTGTTCAACATAGACCAGTCTCAGCTCGTTGTAGGTTAGTAATTTTGCCTCCCCGGAGGGGCTCAAGCCTTTTTGAAAAATAAAAATATATCCCCGGAACGGGTTGGCCCCCAAGGCTTTTATCTGGATAAATTTGTGGCTTAACCCCATGGCCCGTCCCCGACCCCTATCCAAGACCCTCAAAGACCAAGACGCTGTCAACGCCTGTGACATGAACATGTTGACTGTAACCTTGGGAAGATCCAGGGCTAAGGGTGAAGCGTGCGGAGCTGGGCAGGCCAAGGCTGGTGCGGCCATGCGCGAGGCCGAGCTGCTTGAGGCGGATCCAGCAACACGCCTGTGAGGTTTCAATGGGTTTGGGTCTGTGTGGCCGCGGGGATTGAGTGCCTCACTTCGCAATTTCAGGTGAAGCAAGGGCACTTTCGACCGGACGCCGCTAACTTGCTTTCGGGTCTCGGGTTGCAGTACGTAATCCACGAGAACTCCCCCACAACCCCACAACAACAAAAAACAAACCCGACAACACGACAAACCTTCCAACACGAAGTTAGTGCAGACAGTGTCAGTGTAGCATGCACGAACCCCAGAGACATTTACATCTTCTATCTACCCCGGCTTGCCTTTCCACATCATACGGCTTCTGAAGACTGAGTCGGTGTACTGAGAATGGGCGGGAACGCATAAGGGAACTCATAAGGGAATGCATAAGGGAACGAGGGGAATGCGGCATTTTTGCACGAAACACAACCCCCTTGCGAACTAAGTGCAGCACTTGCCACCCTGAACCCCCCAGTTGGCCCTCAACCCTCAACCCTCATCCCTCATCCCTCATCCCTCAACCCTCGACCCCAAACCCTGAACCCTAAACTGTCCCCCGGAGGCCGAGGCCGATGCACAGCGGGCCGCCGCCTCAGCTGCAGAGGCGCTGCGCCGTGAGGAGGCGCCTGTTTCTTTTTGTTGTTGGGGATGGCCCCTTGCGGGAAGCATCCATGAAGGGTTTGTCTTATGTTGTCTTTAAGGAATGGGGTCAAGCTTAGGGCAGGTGCCATTTGAAGGTTCAGGGTTTCGGGCTCGGAGGCTTGCAGGCTTCGGCAAGGTTTTGCGAGGCATCAGTTCTTCACGTCAAAACAGAGCGGCCCAATTCGCTGCCTTTGCAGCCGGAGCGGGCAGTGGTGTGCTTTGCAGCATTGCATGTCGCCGAAAGTTTCGCCCAAGCGCCGACGGCATAAGAGAATCATAAACGGAAGCCGGAGCAAGGCAGGGAATGGCAAGGCCTCCAGGCGCGAGCGAGTTAAAAGGAGATCTTGTAATTGACATGATGAGCGAAAGACTGCCAAGCTCGAAGTTATAGAGCCGGACCTGCCCTAATCCAGACTCGTTGGCCCAAGAGAAGTTCAAACTTTCTGGCTGGTCACCATACACTGCCACGCACCATAAGCCAACACATCAGCTCCCCGAAGCCCATGGGGTTTGCCTCGCGCAGGAGGCCCTGCGCAGCCTCCGCGCCGCGCGGGTGCAGCGCGCCGCGCACTCCGCGAAGCAGCAGCGAGCTGCTGAGGCCGAAGCTTCGGGGCATTTCGGAGCAGAGCGTCTTGGGATGCGAAGGTTTGCCATGAGAAGGGCCCTGGATTCCTGGAGCTCGCGACTTTCACATGTCTGCGTTTTTGCAGTGCTTTTGCATGACTGCTGCTTCTTGAATGCATCGACTCTTCAGGAGACGAGAAGAGCGTCCGAGGCAGGACAGCAACTGGCCTAGGTTTGGCTCAGGGAGCAAAATCTTGGAATTTGGAGTCTTGGGCTTGTGGGCTGCTGTCGTGATAGCTAGTGGAAATGATTTAGCACCTGGCTACGTTCAAGGTACGTGGTGGACTCTTGTCATAGGCATTCACTGCCTGGATTTGCATGGTCCAGCAGAGTGGGCCATTATTCCCTTTTTCGGGTCATGTTCCCGTGCCAACACCTGGTAGCATTTCCAGCTCAGCGCCTGCGCAAGAGGGAACAGAGGAGAGCAACATGAGCCGCCAGATGAGGCAGCAAGAATCATAAAGAGAGAGAGAGAGAGAGACCGCGCGCGGGGGGTCTCCGGGCCCCTCATGCCCCGTAGAAGAAGAAGAGACAGAGAGAGAGACAGAGAGAGAGAGAGAGAGAGAGCTCCCCTTCGGGGGGGCCAAGCGTGCGAGAGAGAGAGAGAGAGATAGAGACAGAGAGGTCGTGAGGCCCCTCATGCCAAGAAGAAGAAGAAGAAGAAGAAGAAGAAGAAGAAGAAGAAGAAGAAGAAGAAGAAGAAGAAGAAGAAGAAGAAGAAGAAGAAGAAGAAGAGGAGAAAACACAAATGGCAACAGGGGGATGGGGGGAGTGGGTGGATGTCGATATCAACCCCCGAGTTCCATCGTTCCACCGACTACCCCGAAAGCGGGGGCGCGCGAACAGCGCGAGGGGCTTCCCCCTCATGCCCCAAGAAAGAAAAAACTAAACGACAAACTTCGGGCGGCCCTCTCCCCAACTGGAGGGGGTTGAGTGTGCAGGAAGGAGGGGAGGAGGGGAGGAAGGGACGGAGGCAGAAGGTCCAAGGCAGTGTTGCGCTTAAAGTTCATTCGAAAAATGAGGCAGGGTTGGGGGATGAGTGCGGCGCACAGGTAGGTTTGGTTCGGGAGTGAGGCAGGCTCGGGGTTGCGTAGGGACCAGGTGGTCAGTTTCACAGCTTGGCCGATGACTAAGTAAGGGTCGATCTTCAGAGTGTGCCATAATGTTACTGCGAGTTCGTGCGGGCTAAACAGGGCGACCCCCCGAACCGCAGGTCGCAGCCGCTGAGCGGCGCCGTGCACAGCGCGCCGCGTCGCTGGGCCGAATGGCGCAGGCGGCGAAGGTGAGCATCGCGAGCCTTTACGTTTTTTTGCGGCCTGAATCACGATCCAGTTCCTGGGACTGGGGTGCTGAAGCTGCCTAGGGCTAGCTGTCATTGAGGGCTTGTGCTTTGTTTTGCCATTTGCTTCCATCTTTTGACTTTCAATAGAGAGCCACGGCCGCCTCTACACATGCTTGTGCCGGCACCCATACTGCTTCTGGAGCCCTGGGAGTAGCAGGAGCTGGTCCGCTGCGAGGCTGAGCTCCACGAGGCAAGAAGAAAGCGACTTTGTTTTAGACCCATGTGGGCTTTGGCGGCTAGGTCTTGCCAGGTGATTGTACCGTCTTGTACACGTCTTTGACAGCTTGTCGGGTGTCATGATGTTGTAGGGGTTCAGGTCATGGACTCTGGGGCCAGGAAGAATTTTTAACTAACGCGGGGGGTGGCTGTAAGTTTAAGGTTCGACTTGTCGCCTGGAAATAACGCTTCAGGCATTCCAGGCCTTGGTTGGCTTCCTAAGAGTTGATGCCCAAAAGGGTCCCAATGTGGAACAACCCCTGTATACTGTAACTCCACAAAAAATCATGCATTTGCGTGTGTATGTATACACACGTTTCGCCGTTCATCCCTTTCCAGGCTGGACCCGCCCTGCCAGTCGAGGTCATCGAGGCCTGAATTGCCAATATGTTAACGCGAACGCGTGCCACCCGGGCCCCATTGCAGGGCATTGCCGGAGTATGCCACAGTGGTTCTTGAGAGATTCACGGAGGTCCCCCCAAGCTCCCGAGACCGCCAAGAACGGTAGGGCCTCGCGTGAATGCAGGGCAACATCTGGGTCCTTGAGCGCGCAAAAGTGTGCCCTCACCGACCTGAAAGTCGATTCTAAGCAGCTGGATGTTCTAGGGGGCAAGAATGTCAGGATCAGGGTCGGATTTGTACGTCATTGGGATGTCAAGAGCATGCCGAAACATTTAAAGCTCAGCTGCAGCCGGATGCTGGAGGCTCATCAGGTGCATTACCAAGCAGCATGACAGCCCGAGAGTCTCTTCTTGTTTTCGCTTGCAAGCAACAGTCTGTGTGCTCCTTCGCTGGTTCCCCGTTGCCGTCATCCTCACTTCCAGCTTCCCTTTCCTTGTTTGTTTGCTGAGTTTCTGAAGGGCCTCTGGAAGTTTATGGGGGCTCACCACCCGTTTGGACTGGCTGCACACATGCTATTCGCAAGGGCGGCAGCGTTTTTTCGGTGCATGTCCCGCAAGAAACGCTGGTACTATTGTGGGGAACAACACCGGCAATGTTTTGGTTTAGGGATCAGACTGCCTAAACTGCAACTTTGAGCCCCTAAGCCCCACTGAGCTCCGAACTCCGAACTCCTCGGAGCATTCACGTGCAAGTAGAAAGCAAAAACGCTTCACTCGTGAGGCTGTCACCGAGATCCCACGCCGGGCGCCGTGTCCCACACCTGCGCAGCGGAAGGCGGCGAGGCGACGCATGTGCTTCCTTCCGTGGGTGAAGTCCGAGTTCCTGCAAGCAGTTGTAGCCCAAGATTGAGTTGGCCTGGGTGGACACACGCGCAACAGCTGTCTGGATCTTGATATCTTGATGTCCGTATCGAACGTCTGAATGGATCAATATCCCCTTGGTCCACTTTCCATGTCATCCTTTAGGTGCCGAAGCCCTAGGAAGTCATTAGTGCCAAAGTGTCCCTCCCTGGAAACACGTTGCACAGGACAGTCGCGTTAGGTACGCATTACGCAAGATGCAGATGCATAGCGCTTGGGAGACGCAAACTAGCAGACTTGCGCTGACGCGTATCCGTCACGAGCTGTACCGAGGTCTACCTTTGGGCCTTCAAAGTCCCTTCCGCAAACATTTCTTGCTCCATACCATGAGTATACCATGTATAGCTCCGATTGCAAGAATCAACCACTTGTGCTTCATAGGTGCGGGTGAGCTTCTTACATATTCGAGAGCCCCAGCTAGGGTTGTATCATGTTGCATCTAGAGATGCCGCTACGTGAGTTGTAATCATAGACGCTCTCGTGATCCATCGGAAAGATTGGACGCCCTTCGATCCCGGTACTGTGTTGGCATTCTCGCGCCCTGAGGGCTCGCAGCGCGGCCGCGTGGCAGCGAGAGGAAGCTGCCAAGCTGCCTGACTGGGTTGGCCCAGGGGGTTCGGAGATGAGGGCTTTGTGTCCTTGTTGATGCTTGCAGAAGGACCTCGGGGCTGAGAAGCGACGACGAAAGTAGCTTCACCCCACCGTTGAAAAGAGCCGAAAGCTTCAGCCATGCATCAGGATTCTTCTCGCACCTCTCAGATAGCCGATTATGCGACATGGTTGATTGTGGGTCCAAATGGATTGCAATGAATGTAGAATGGTAGAAAGCACACTTACTTCTTAGTACATGGTCAAGTGCAATATAGCCTTATCATGACTTTGCATTTTGCCAACAATCAGTACGTACAGCGAGAACTGATGTTGACATATGACCACCAAACAACTACAAACAACTCATCAAATACATCGGCTTAAAGAAGCTGGGCCCGCAGCTCCAGCTCCAGGTCTGAGGAGTCCTCCTCCCGCGCCCGGGCCGAGGATGCCAAGAAGGAGCGGAACTAAGCTGACCCGATCTTATGGGTTCCCTCGAGCTCGACTCCCATGAGTCTCTTCTCCTCTGGACCTAACCATGAACATTCCAATAGTACCTTTGTCACATGTTCTTGAAGGGCTTGCAGGGTTTGCAGCTCGAGCACCTCGGGTTCCTGGTTTGGGGGTTGATTCTGCGACTGGTGGGGAGAGCGGGGGTTTGCGGTCAAGGAACGCCGGGGAACCTTCGCCCAAACCAAAGCTATAGGCACAAACCCTGAATCGAGCCAATGTTTCACTTGTAGTCTGAATGCACCCTTAGACTTCGAAGACCTAAACTCCAATGAAGTTTAAGAGGAGCGTCTGCGAAAAGTCCATGCCGTCGCCGAGGCCGTTAAATCTCTTCTTCGGCTGCAGTCGGGTTACGGGCTCGAGAGTTGTGTTCTTTCGGTTCCAGGGTTCGACTGAATGCTTAAACTTTAGAGCCATTGGGGGTTTTGTGGGTTTCTTAAGTCGGGAGGTGGGCGGGCGGAATGGGTGAAGATGCAAAGCTGAGAGGGTCCCTGCCCTCGCTGTGACGGTAGGTGGCGCTGGTGGGCTTGAAGCCCTAGTTTTGGATGTTCCCCCTTATTCTAGCAGTCCTTAATAGGGAGTCTAATAGGGGTTACTCTCATCCCTATTAAGGCCTGTTGGTGTTAGGGGCAACATCCCAACCTTAAGTTCATCTGGTAGCATCCCACCTTTCTTGGAGGCAGCCGCGGAGGCTGCCGAGGCGGCACAGCCACGCAGTGCGGCGGTGGCGGAGGAGGCAGCGAGGGCTCACAGGAATGGTCGCAAGCGTTGCTTTGTTCAGGAGTTTGGGATGGTCCATACGGGTGACTCTATGGCGACGCTGAATTGTGAAGAATGTCGGTGTCTGCTTTCTTGATGACAGACGAACTCTCTACACGCAGGTTCAAGCTCATGAGTCCTCGTGACTTTCAGCGCGCACGACCATTTGAGACCATCGTTGCCCCATTTTCTTTGAGACCATCGTTGTCCCATTTTGCACATTGGCACGGCTTATCCCGGGTAGCGCCATGTCTCCACCATCTAACAATTGCGGCATGAAGCCAAAGACCCTTT